GTTAAAATATTTTGAATTAGATAACTGCACTGTGGTTATCTATGAGAATAATCTTGTTCTCAGGCAATTTTCCCTAAAGTATTAGTATTAAGGGTTAGACAGCCATGATATATGCAACCTACTATCAAAATGGTTCAGAAAAGAATAATATCTGTGTATGTGTGTATATATGTTTACACACACACACACATATATGGAAGGAGAGAGAAAATGATAAAGCAAATGCTCCAAATATAAAAACCTAGTGACCATCTGGGTAAAGGGTATATAGGGGTTGTTCTCTATACCATTCTTGCAACTTCTCTGTAAAATCTGAAACTATTTCGAAATAAAAAGATTTTATAAATTCAGGCAGTTGTGTCTCTCCTATCACACCTGCTGTTTCAGCCTAGTCCCCCAGGAGGGACAAGGTGTCCCCATGTCATGCTCTGACGAACCACTAAAAAGTCCTGCTCCATGAATTTACACGAGAAAGCACCATATGAAATTCCCATGAAAACAAACTTTTGAATGATTTTCCTTTAAAAAAATTGCTCTCTCCAAAGATGATAATCTGAATTTAAACACAAGTTAAACCTAATGATAGTTCTAAAATGTCTTATATAATTTTTGTAGTACTAAGTAGCAAAACCAAGGAGCCCCGGCAGTGCAGTGGTTAAGCGCTCAGTTGCTAACAGAAAGGTTGGTGGTTTGAACCCACCAGCTGCTCCACGGAAGAAAGATGTAGTAGTCTGCTTCTGTAAAGATTATAGCTTTGGAAACCCTATGGGGCAGTTCTACTGAGTCCTATAGGGTCACTGTGAGTTGGAATCATCTTGACCCCCACAGGTTTTAAGTAGCAAAACAGTTAAGGTCCTTTAATGTCCTTAATTTTTATATATAGAAAATATCAGGGATATTTCTTCCTTCCTCTCATGAAGGAATAGTGAAAATTACTTCTGGCTTTTCAACATGTAATATAGGTTCAGGGTATAATAAGCTTCCAAATATACTATCCAAATACCAGGATAAACACATGAATGTCTTCATCCTGTCTCCCTAGTTGGTTCCAAAATTGTCTTCCTGAACTCTTATTTATTCAAGTTTATTATTTTAACTTTACTTTATCTGAGAAGGATACTTTTTCTTTTCTTTTTTAATTGTACTTTAGGTGAAGGTTTACAAGACAAATAGTTTCTCTTTAAACAGTCAGTACATATATTGTTTTATGACATTGGTTAACAACCCCATGACATGTCAACCCTCTCCCTTCTCAAGCTTTTTTTTTTTGGTGAAAATACACATAGCCAAAGATACACCATTTCAAAAATTTCTACACACACAATTCAGTGACATTGATTACGTTCTTCCAGTTGTGCTGCTATTTTCACTTTAGATGAAGGTTTATGGAACAAAAGAGTTTCTCACTAAACAGTATACATGTTGCCCTATGACAATGGTTAACAACCCCACTACATGTCAACACTGTCCTTACTCAACTTTGGGTTCCCTATCACCAGCTTTCCTGTCCCCTTCTGCCTTCTAGTCCTTAACCCTGGACTGCTGTGCCTCATTAGTCCCATTTTGTTTTACGGGGTTGTCCAATCCAGGGCTGAATGGTGAACCTTGGAAGTGACTTCACCACTGAGCTAAAAGGGTGTCTGGGGGCCATACTCTCGGGGTTTCTCCAGTCTCTTTCAGGCCAGTAAATCTGGTCTTTTTTGTGTGTGTTAGAATTTTGTTCTACATCCTTCTCCAGCTCTGTCCAGAACCCTCTGTTGTGATCCTGGAGTCAGTCCTGGTAGCCAGGCACCATCTAGCTGTACTGGACTCAGTCTGGTGGAGGCCTTGGTAGCTGTGCTCCATTAGTCCTTTGGACTAATCTTTTCCTTGTATCCTGTTCTCTTCATTCTCCCTTGCTCCCGAAGGGATGAGACCAGTGGAGTATCTTAGAT